TGCAGCCACCAGCCCAGGAGCATGTCCACACTGCACAAGCCCACACAACAGTGCAGGTTTTGCTTAGTACGTGCTATAATGTTGATAAGCCAGAAGTACTACCCACGTACGTGGCAGGACAGAAAATGTTGACTGGAGTAACTCGTGGTTAAGACAAACTGAAGAAAACCTTCCGTGGCCCTGGCAACCTCCTGTAAACTCAATGCCACCAAGAGGAATCATAGAATCACTTTGGTTGGAAAAGACCTTTAAGATCATCGAGTCCAACCTTTAACCTCACCCTGCCATCCCACCACTAAACCATGTCCCTAAGAAGGAAGAGACTTAGGTCCTGCACCTCGTTAAGTTACAAAACTCCCTGGTTTTCTAATTAATCCCTGGGTTACGCACCAAATTTAGTACTCTGACTAGAGCTGATGGGTGTTGGTTCACACACCGCAGAGGCACTGCTGGGAGCATCCATTCACAGCAACCAGGGCCTGGGTTCTCACTTGTGGAGACTTGGGGGTGTTTCCTGAGGGATGTGGGGGAACCTCATTCGGGATTTCTTTTCACTTAACCCAGTCAGTTTCCCTCCAGGGAAACAATCCTCAAAACTAAATATGTTTTGGAAAGAAGGAGTCAGACTAGAGACAGCAGGGAACAACTATTCTTGGCAATCTGAACACTTGTCCTGAAAAAAAGGAGCTCTTTTCTTGAGCTGTGGCAACCAAAATACCCGTTTCTTCTCCAAATCTTGCCCCAAATTTACCCATATGTCAAAATGCAAATTTATTTTAGTCTATTATATACTTTAAATATCCGTTATCACTCCCAACACCATACACAAATATATACATACTGTTTTTCTTGTAGAGGAGAATTTCAAAGCAGTTTGACTCATAGTTGTCGAAAGTCTGTCTGACTTTTTCAATGGTCTTCTTGTCTGTCAGTTCACCATACATAAAACTGAAAAAGAAAAAATGTTTCTCTTTTTTTCTAGACAAGCAATGACTTTGTTACAGTCACCTTAAACAGCATAAGCATTGGAGATGCTATTAACTGTAATTTACCAAAGTTTAATTATTTAAATTAAATATTTAGAGTCTCACAAGGCATCCTACAATAGTGAGTAACCATGACCACCTTTTTACTGTAAACAACAGCAAATAAATCTACCGTAATGTTTCATTAAGTGCTTTTCTGAGCATATCTTCCAGGATATATGGTTAGAAAAAGAGCTGATAGCCTATAAAACCATTATTGTCACAGCTGCAGGCCATGAGAATATCGCTGTCAAAACAGAGCAAACTAAACAAAACCTCTAAAACCTCCCAAATTTTGTTCAACCCTCTTGAAAAGGCTTCTGGAGGGGGAATGGTAAGTACCACAGGTGAAGGCTGTTGGCTGAATCGATGGCTACAAATCTAATCTTGTCAAGATGCATCTGCAACAGTGAGATAATTGGAATCTTTTTACTAAATACCGATTGCAAAAGGAGGGAGGATTTAACCCGTAAGCAGTGATGGCTGTCATTCCCCTGAAAATTCAGCACAGAAAGCAAGTGTATGAGTTGTATCAGCATAGCTACGTCTGGGCTACTACCAAACATAATCAAATTCACCTTCATTTTCCTTACTGTGTACTGCATTTCTTTAATATTTCCGTGAAAATACAGAAAATGTTAAAATGCTTTTGGAGATTCATCCCTCTCCAGACTGAGAATATAAAAATCTAATTTTAACTCCGCTAGTTCTTCCCACTTGACCATCTCATCTTTGCATTCTTTTCCAGGTCAGACTTTCAGCTGGTGTAAGCAAACCCAACCCCCTGACCTTACTTCTGAAAGCTTTTGTAAGGAAACAGCCAGGCTCTTATTGTCATCCTTCCCTGGATTAAAAAAATAAGTGAAGACCACTCTGTGCAAATTCCTAATTACAGAACTGAAGGAAAATGGAACATGGGATAAAAGCTTTCAGAGACTAGGATAAATATACTTTTAATTGATCAGACTTTTTTTTTTTTTTCCATTTTCTTTATTCACAAACAATTTGAGCTTCAGCTACAACAGACAACCCTGAGAATATGAAAGAGAAAAGCTATCAGTGCCTCTGTGGTTTCAATGCAGCTTCTCTTTTATTGATCAACAGACCTCCAAAGGTTCAGCAAACATTTATTTTATGTCTACTTTCTGAAAGAAACAATAAAACAGCATAGTGGTTAGTGACTCGGCAAGCATTAAAATACTCAATGAAGGCCAGACCACGAATCTTTTCTTTACACAGCCTGCCAAGGGAGGGACTGGGGCTGCTCCCAGAATAAGGTGCTGCCCACAGCAGGGATGGAGGCAGACACGGGGCACCAGAGTAACTACAACATCTCTATGTCACTACAGGTGCTTCTTCACCGGTAACACGGGGAGAGCCATTGACAAAGGACACGTCACATCGGTTACCTTTGGGACAGCAATGTAATGGCGGTGCCACGACGGCCACTGACGTCAGGAAATGGTTTTACCGGGGCACAACGCTTCATTAAGGAAATGCTTATCATAAACACACATGGCCGCCCTTAGGAAATGCAAAACACAGCCTACTGCCCATTTCCAAGTTACCTGCCTTCCTTTCCCCAGTTCAGCTGATAACCTTTTATACATTTATAGATGAGATGACAACAAAAAGAATTTGATTTTTTCTTTTAATCATGCCTTTTTTAATGCACCCATGAGGTAAAGCAGATTGCTCTCCTGTCTGCAAGACGAAATAAGAGCTGGTGGTTTTCACACAGCCGGTTGTGCAATTGAATTCTCTTTTTTTTTTTTTTTTTTTTGTTTTCTTGAGATTTAAAACAATGTTTCTCTTAGCCCTGAGGGAAAAAATAAGAAGAATTTGTTAAAGTGCTTGACTTTACATGGCTTATAATAGAGAAAGTCATCATTAATTAGCGTTGAAATGACAAATCGTACTTGGCATTCTGCGTGGTGGACGATACCAGTTAGCGCTGCTGAATACAATCAATCAAGTTTATGTTTTAAATTAAGAGCAGCTTATTATTGCCGTAAACCTGTAATACTCAAATCTTACATTATCTTTGCATATAAAGAGACATTTTAAAGGCTTGTGGAAAACTAAAAACATTTTTCAGAAGGCGATTTTTAGCAGCACCAAAGAAACCTCAAAGCCACTCACTGTGCAAGTTATATAAGATCTTTGCTTACCACAGGTTTAATTTAATTTAGTCTGTCCTATTTTGTACACATGGAGGGACTCCTACTTCTCCAGTCAATCACTCTGTCTTTTTCTGCCTCATGTTTTTTGTTATTTAGTGCTTGTCGAGTGCCTTCAGTGCAAACTGTACAAGACATAAATATCAAAACCACCCCGCTACTGGGAATCTTACTACCTAGAAAATAGACTTATCAAAGAGAAACAAGACTTACTGAAATCCTCAGAGAAAGGCACAATCTTAGATAATTTCCCCATCTCTGAAACAGACCGTTTGTCATTTAAGACGCCTGGGCTCCCGCCTCCCTTTGAAAGCATCCCTTGGCACAGAAAAGCCCCAGCTTTGTATCGTGCTCCTCTGTCAGGATCCGGAGCAGGGGCATCAGGAAGAGCTCCAGGTCTGCACTGCGTGCCAGGGCGGTGTTAAACTGCTTTTTGTGAGGAATTACGCAGGACAGAGGCCAGGTGAAGCACTGAAGGTGTACGATCCCGCATCCAATTTACAGCTCTCATCCAAAAGCATTGGATGAAAAGGCATCAGCTACAATGGACAAGCGTCTACCCAGGAGGAACAGCAAATACAGATACACATCGATAGCTTCAAAACTTTGCAAGTTAAAAAGCAGGCACCATTTCCAAGGAGAACCGGTACAGCCCCCTGGGTCCCAACCAGCATGCTCAGCAAGGTTTCTTTGCACATTTTTGGCAGTGCAAGGAGGCCTTCTCACATACACAAAAATCAGGTCACGGAGATGACATCCCAGTATCACTCCTAACTTTTTTCAAGGCCAGCCCACTGTACCCACCATGCAAAGTCCCATTTCTTTGAACACGGTGGGAATTTTGCCATTAGCTTCACCGGAGCCAGGACTTCACTCGCAGACTTTTTTTAATCCCTCTTTTAATGGCACTAAATCAAAATGAGGGAGAGCAGAGATACTGACTGGAGCACCGCAAGTGTTTTGGTGGAAACGCTACCTGTAAACAACCGCTTCAACCAGGAGATCCGATTCCATCCCCCCGTACGGCTGGAAGGCACCACCCAAACAGGGCCTATGAGCAGGTTTCCTCTCTGAAAACAAAACCAGCAACCAGCTACTCCTGGCCTGGCGCAAGGGTCTCAGGTGCAAGGAAGGGTAAGCAAAGCGAAGCCTAGGGCAAATGCCAAACATGAAATGCCAGCGTAGGTCGACTAACCAGCTGCTCCAAGGGTGCCTGCTCTTCCAAAGGCTTGACGAGAATACAGAGCTTAACTGACAGGCAACGATATTAGAAAATACTGACATTACTTGTAACATTAAACCAGATTTTAATGTTTATAACTGCTTATTCTTCCAACGCATTCATAAAGACATACATTGTCATGACTGTGGGCAACTGGGCATGAAAGAAGCGGTTTTTCCTGCTGCTGGTTGATCTATCCATGCACCTCCAGGCAGGGTTTTTTGCATGGTTAGTTGAAGGTTAGATGTGTTGCAATTGCAGGTGCCCAGTTCCTCCTGGACTGTCAGCTCATTTTCATTTGGCACAGCAATGCTTCACTAGCACACAAGTTCTTCTACCTGGAAATCCTGTGGATTTTAGCACTCGCTTCCACCAATTACTCTATACATCAGCTCCAGCTACACATGCGACATAGGGTGCCATGTGCACCCAGAAGGAACTCACATCGATTCCCATCACGCAATATTCACATAGCCTGAGCCCTGTGTACACAGCACCTTTTATATAGTGCCTGTGAAACTAGGGAGACTGGCACTTGTACTGAGCTATTTCTAAATCATTTTCCTGCCAAAGGGCACGTTGTTGCTGATTATAAAGATGAGAGAAATGCAATATCAAAGGGATTACCAGCTTGTCACAGGACTAACTCATTGCCTGAGCTGGAACAAAAAAACCCACTCGCAACCCCCGTGCCCTCAGTCTATCCAGCCCTCCCTGTGATGGGTATCAGCCAAGGTCACCTGAGACTGAATGTAATGATGGCGTATAAGCAGCCCCAGTGTTGGTATGGGGTGGGACAGACGAAAAGAGGATATAGTGACTACTCACTGGACTACCCAGGAGAAAAGCATGGGTGAAAGCTGATTTGAAGGCACTATATCTTACAGGCAGGGGCAAACCGACCAAACATTGCAAGATTTATAAATTGTTGTTTATCATACTCATGATCTGTAACAAGAATAACTCGAATCAGGGGCTAGATTTACATTGTTTGTATCTGTCTATTTTATTTTGGCTGGATTTTTGGCACTAGAAAGCTGTAAGAACAGACCCTTCCAAAACCTGCAATAAAGGTGAGGCACCATAGCACTCGCCTTAGAACAGTAAAGCAAACATTATATATAAAGCAATTTTTATCTATAATGTAACATAATCTGGGCATTACATAGCAAATCTGGACTGAGAGCCTGACTCAGAAAGTAATTTAAGTAACAGCCCCAGATATTGAAAAACCTCCAGTGACATTCTACTGAGTAAGCCTAAACAGGCACCATTGGCCTTCAGGACTATTTTCCATTCCATGCAGCTGCACAGCTCTTTGTTAGAGAGCAGCTCCAAAGACATTGCTCTGGAAGGCTGCATGGTGCACATCAGACCATGCTGAAAACCTCTCCAGCCTCCTTTAATCTGCAAGGACTGGGATGTCTCCTAAGCAGCAGGAAACATCACACTGCATATAAAACTCCACCAGCTAAGACCCAGACACAAAAGAAGTGCTAGCCATAATTTGAGAGCAGAGAGGGCTCTCTAAAATCCAGAGTTGGATGTACAGAATGAAGACTAAAGAAAAAAAAAAAATCTTTGCTACCAATTCCATTTTCCACAATAATTCCTCCTTGAATTTGCATCTGTGTGATTCACCTGTATGATCTACTTGAACGTGGTCAGAACAGGATCCCTACAAATGGTAACTAGAGCCCACCACATTCACAAAAAGCACTCAGATGGAAAAAAAACTTTCACCCTGCCCGCCCCCCCCCGCCCCCGTTATTTGAGGCACAGGGGAATCATTGTCAGAGAGGTATCGCTAAACCTTCACTTCCTCAACATTTGCCTACAATCCCATTCTACATTTGTAGTTATCTTAGCATGCACAGACCATAAAAGTGCTGGCTCACAGCAAACTTACGCAGTTCAATATCCAGGATAGCAGAGAGCAAAGGGGGAAGCATGTATTTATATCTGGGATGGCTGCGATGAGGCTGTTTCTTTCAGCCCCACTGAGTATATCGACTCTGTTGCTACTGTGTGAATGAATATTTCATTTCAGCAGCACGTGCCCATCTCTTCTCCATTGCCCGTTGGAGGACACCTGGCTGCACAGAGCAACCCTGGACCCCAAAGGTTCCTCCCCTTCCCAGCAGATGAGAGTAGCAACCAGACATCAGCACATGTTGCTTTTTTGGAGTAAGCGATGACCGGCATCCGAGGACACGCTCGCTGCCTGCCCTGCTCCTGCCAGCTGAAGCATCAGCCGATAATCAGCGTCTGGCAGCACCCATCTCCCAAAATCATCACTGGGGATACGCAGCCCCCTCCTCCCAGTGCCCTGGAGTTGGTTGCTCCCTGAATGCATAAAGCGAAAACCTACACAAACTTGTAGCCCAGCCGTTTCCTAATGCCCCGTCCCTCCTTTACTTTGCTCACGCTCAGATGCACACACATTAGGGATTTAGTCTTTCCCATAAATCCCAGAGCTTAAAAAATGCAGCAGACAAGGTGCAGATGCATGTCTAACCATAAATCACAGCTGCCCGCTCCTGAAAGACCACCAATGAAAGGAAAAAGCCATAAAGCTGCAATTCTTAGAGTAAATATATCATCAGCTTAATCACTCTCTTGGGAATGAAGATGCAGTTTGCACATTGCTGTGCTCTGTGTGTGTGTGTAATAACAGGGACAAGCATGGGCTACAGAATAGCCCATCGCCTCCTAGCATGACAACAGGAGAATTAACCAAAAACTAGTTAAAAAAGCCTTTGAAATATATCACCTGAAAACCCACTTTCTTTCTTGGATCATTAGCTAAAGCACATTTGTACTGATATTAGCCAGGATAAATTTCAAAGTGCTTTACCACGTCCTGGGTAAGTTGCTGGTTTCACTCATTTAAAGCCTCTTTCAATACTTTAATTTCTGCAAAACAATGCTTTTCTTACATCAATCCTTTTTCCAAAACCTCATTGTTCTTCCCAGCAGATTATAACTTTAAAAGTGCATCGAGTGGCAATGAACAGACAGTCGGCGTACCTGCAAGTGCTACTTTTCTGCATGACGTCAGCTCGATGATATCCAGAGAGTTTACAAAAACCGTCATTACTATAAACTACGGGCCAGTCCACAATCTGGGCATTTCCCAACAGAAAACTGGATTCTGAAAAGAGAAAGAGAAAACAAGAGAAAGGGCTGTTGTCAGTGGCAAAGTACATTTAAATCCTCCGTGTGTTACACAGTAGATGCAGAGTTATTCACCATGGTAACTTCTAACGTGAAATTTCAGAGGGAACTGAAATCAAAATGGGCATCAGAAAAGAAATTGTGATGAAACAGGATAACAACAGTAGCTTCCTGCACCCCAGAATACTGATATAAGCACCGATGCTTTAACAATTTAGAAAGGATTCATTTATTCCCCAACATCTGGGCAAGGTATCACGTTGGATTTCCATTTTATATGTATCTTGAAATCAACCTTAGATTAACTTGCAAACTGAGTTTTAAATGCTGAACTGTGAGTGTGCCCAATGTCGATGAGGACTCCCTTGCTTAAGACGAGTACGTTTTTCCTCCCGGCAGATCCCAGTCTGTTTTGCAGGAGGCAGCCAGCATCCCTTGGGATGAGGGACAGAGAGCACCAGGGGCGGCTGGGGAGGGGCGGGATGTGCCCACCACATCTTGAGGTACCATGAGCCGCACCACGCCTGGGACTGCGGGTATGAAGTGACCCGCATGGAAATCCAACATGATCGGGGAACTGATGAGTATTGAATTTTGGTGGCAGGCTACTAAAAATGCAAACAGGTGGGTTCGGCTCATCCTAGTAACATGCATCCACTGCTGTAAATACAAACTATAGGCAGGGAGTATTTCTAGGAGGCTGAACTCAGGTTTAAATATCGCTTCGTCATCTGTTCTTTCAGTCCATGCCTACAGTTCATACATGTGGACTGGCACCAGCACATTATGAGTTGGTCCAAAAATAGTTTTATTTGCTAGTTTGGAAAGATTCTTCAATCCCTGCTTTTAGCAAGGTGTTTCCGAAGAAGCAAATACCCATTTTGCTTAAAGACAATGCTGTGGGATTTCATGTTCACCAACACCATAAACACTCCTAATTTTGTTTCAGAAATAACATTCTCATTTAGTAGAGGTTCTCAAATTGTAGTCTGTGATGATCTTCAGAGTTTCCTTTATTTTTACTGTTAGTTTTCAATTTCATTTTGACTGCAGCAATGGAACTAACTGGTCCCATTCATTATTGCTAAAAAGCTATTAAAACATAACTATTAACATTCACTGCTGCATAGAAATTATAGGGAATATTCCTTTCAGCAGTTCTCGTAGAAAAAAAAATTAAGGAGATTTTTACAAATTTTCCTCATAATATCCAAAGAATGACTATGTCAATTACTTACAGTCATATACTCAGGTGCACACATTCATTTTCACATAAAAGTGACACGGGGTTCGCATGAGCTACACAGGCCCTTCTCAAAGTATTTATAACTGCAACCGGATAGCACATTATGGAAGCATTATTCTGTTGAACAAGGGAAGTGTACTGAAAAAAACGTATTTCTTTTTTCTTTATAAGCATGAATTTGGATAAAAAATAATCTGGAGATTATTGGATTTTCTATAGAAAAGCAGATTAAAAAATATTTAAAAGCCAACCAATGTGAGAAACAGAAGTTTAGATTTTCTGAAATCTAACATTTTTAAGCTCAAAGAATTTATTTGAATCCATCACAAATATTCTTAAGCCTAAATGCCAACTTTAAAAATGTACTTTCCTACCCGAAAGGAAGTGTCCTCGCTACAAGCAGCAGGAGACAGGGAGTAAAGCCTGAACATTACAAAAAACCTCCCTGGCTTTCCGCAGCCCTTTCTGCGCCGGGGACAGAGCCCAGCTTCCCTCACTGACACAGGGGACAGCCTAACCCCCTGGAAACCAAACGGTTCCCTGGAGCTCATCCCTGTGTATTGACATCCCCTCAACACCTTGCATCTTCTCCAATTTGGAAAAGGGGAGACACCACCAACCCCCTAAACCCTCCAGGCTCCCCGTGTGGCAGCCACCCCACACCCCAGCAGCTGGAGGGGATGGAAGCATAAACAATTCTTAATTTCCACACCACAGGGGAACAACCAATATAACAAAGTCCTCCGGTTATATTTGGAAAGAGTTTGCTTTTTTCACCAAAGTTTTGCTCGTGCATCTAGCTACAAGGGGCAGAACCTGGGCGATGAGAGACTGGAACACCAAACTCGCTCCGGGATGCTGTGCACATCTGGGTGCTCCCCAGAGGACCACAGTCCAAAAGCAGATAACCCTGCTTCAAAGCCTCCCCATCTGACAGACATAATCTTGATTGTGTATTCCCACCACATAACTGTTTCAGGACACAGAATACACAGCAGGAGATACGTGTTGCAGCCAGCAGCCAACATACAGCATTTCATGGTTGCCTTCTATGGATTTTATACTTCTTTACACTGGAGGGTCTCAAAAAATTTGATAAGGCATTCACTAAACTGATCAAATTCACCAGAAACTTGGGAGAGAACAAAGCATAAAGCCAAACTATTGACAGTTAAAAAGAAAAAAAAAAAAACAAACAAACAAAAAACCCCATAAAATTAGAAAAAAAACCCAAACACATAAAATTAGAAAAAAATAGACACTAGAAGTTTCTTGGCAGAGACTAGTATTCGTAAAGTTATATCAGATATGTAGGGTATGTACTAGAAACTTGACCAGATATTAGAATATGTTTTCTTTTGTCCCCATGAATTTTCCTTTACTTAACTGACTACTTTTTTACCCTTGTCTCCTAAGCAAATAAGGCTTACTCATCCATGCTCAGCACATGAACTTCCAGCTGAAGAAAAATCTTGAATCAATGTTTGCATCTTGTTAGAGACCAATGAATCTACCTGCGGGCACAAAGCCATAGGAATCCATATTTCATTAATGCCGCTGCTCAGTGAGCAGCTTGATAAAATTTAAGGAAGAACAGGTCAGCACCTGACCCTTGGGTTTTATTGTGGACCCAAGCCTCACCATCCACACGACTCCATGCCTACCCTACATTTTATCAGGAGTCATGTTATTTTCTCCAACCAAGACACCTATTAATTCTTCCCTATTTCTGCAGTTTCTCCAGATCAAAACTCCAGGCAGATTTTACTTTACATTACCCAGTCCATACCCAGCTGTAAACATCAACTGCATACTGGCTGACAGGACACTTTGAGAGAACCTCTTTTTTTTTTTTGGCCATAATTTCTTAAAATTGCAGAGTGCAAAGGGACACTGAGGAGTTTTTGCTTTGAGTCCTCTGCTGTGACTCTGTATATCCTCTAACACATCTCTGGTTTGGAACCTAACCTTGGTCAACAACAGAGACTCCTTAGTAGAGAATACAACCTTCGGGTTTCTAGGAGTTTTGTGTCATTGAGAAGAGACTGCTTTATATCACATCATCACCACTAACCACTGGTGAAAGTCCATTGCTGCAGTTACCTCCCATGAGGTTGGGTACCAACAGCCGGTAGGCAGTCCTGGACTAAATCCGTCTGCATGCCCAACTTCCATGTTTCTACAACTCCATTACACGGCCTCCTTGATAAGAAAGGTCAATCACAGTTGTGTCTTAGGTTAAGATTTCCATTACTCTAACTATGGCAAATTCCACTCTGTTTGATTTCCAGCTGCCTGCTTGAACCTGCTGTTAAGAGGGTTGGAAAAACCTCATTCCCTTTCTACCTCCAGTGGCCATGGGGCAACCTAACACCACAGACGAGTCTGCTCCCTTCCAAACACAACTGGGTGCCCATTCCTCCTGGCCTGCTTTGCCAGCAGCTTCAAAGCAAAGACCCTCAGCAAGGGCACCTTGATGTCCCCCTGTGCCCTGCCGTGGTGACTCTGTGGTGAAGCTCAGTAGTAGCCTCTTGGCACAAGCCAAGGCTTCATTCAAGCAGATCAGGTGTAAAGACAAGTGTGCTACAGAGCTGCCTCCAGGCTGCCAACTGACTCACTCCTTCTTGAGATACATCCATACTCATTGCACCCAACTGGGAGGAATGGCACCCAGACCACAGCTATTCACCTGATGGCAGCCCAGGGACGTGTCCCACCAGCACTGCTGCAGGCAAGCACTGGGTGCACCTCCATCAGCAAATCCCAGCTTCACTCCTGGTCCTCCCCTTCCCCTGATGGCCCACACTCCACATTGGTTAGTTCATACCAAAGATGTTTTTTGGAGTGAGCCAAAGGACTTTTACACAATCAGTCTTTTCTAAAGCATGGGCCTGAGCCCTGCAAAGCCACACACCAAGGACTGCCCCCCAGGGCAGATGACTTCTGCAAGACAGACCCAGGCTCAGACTCCCTTCACAGGAGAGGCAAGCTCTCCTTGCCCACTCTAGTCTTCAACAGGTAATACTGGTGTTTTACACCTTCTTCAGACAAAAAAGAAAAGGAGCCAACAGAAGGTCTGCAAATTGCAGGGTGATGAGCATAGCGAGGACGCCAGCACTGGGATCTCCACAGCTGTCTTCCCATTGGATTCAATACACAAGAGCTACATTCTGCAAGCTACTTTTTTTTAAAGAAAGTATTATATTGGAGGCTTTCTCAAGGATAAGTATTTCTTAACAGAGTTTAGCTACTAATAGTTGGGCAACAACAAATTCAGCCACTATGCCTATACCACAACACCTGAATTTACTCAGTTTTCAAGTATACCGCGACTTCACTGAAAGAACAGTATCACAAGAGGGATTGCCAAGGACAGCCAAAGTTACGGATGGCAGTGCGTAAATACAGCTCGTATTCTGCAGTACAACACGGGTCCCTAAAACTTGTGCAATATCTGTGCTGTGGTGCAGAAAGGAAAGTCTCCTCTCTCCATGTACAGCAGCACCCAATCTCACAAGTATTTTACCGCAGGGGCTGGGAACTTCTCCCCTGGTCTGCTAGACATTGGCCATTGCTGAAAGCAGGACAGTAAATCTGGCAGACCAATGGTCTGATCCAGAACATGAAACCCTATGCAGCTGTCATCCAGATTACCACGTGGGGGTATCTCATACTCTGAAAACATTAACATGCAGCTAACTTCAAAACTTGCATGATGATTAGCCTGAA